TGCTGTTATGAAGAGCTAATTTGCTGATCGAGTCGTAGTATCTTCATATAAAGAGATCTCCGATAATAGGCTGAAGTGCCCATATCCTACCCAGGGCTAGTCCAGCCAAGCCAAATAGGGGGGAGTAACGAAGTTTCGGTTGCATTAAGCGTTCATCCAATGCGAGCAAAGAGAGTGGAAGTGGGCAATTTGGCCTTCCACGGCCGACTAAGATGGGAAGGAAAAGTACAGGTAGCGGCAAATACATAAGCAAACTTTTATCTCAATAACTACGTTATTCCTTAATCCCTGTCAGTCCTTTGAATATCATGTCCGACATCCATCGTGGTAGGCATATGAAGAAGACCGCACATTCAACAAAAACTTTAGCTAAATATGCTGGGCCACTTTTTACAGTTATAAATAATTTTTCAATTTTTTAATGAATAATCCCCTGCTCGAGTGTAAAGTAAAAGAGATAATATTCTATCAGGTACTACAGACCAAGCTAAACTTCAAATATTTAGGGTCCCTGAACTTCCATGCGAATCCAACTGACAGACTGATCCCTGAATTTTGGACTGGAACCTCCTGCGCACTCCTTACAAGCGTATAGATGCCCCTTTGTACTTCGTTGTGTGTATGCCTTAGAACTTAATATATTCCCGTACTTAGCTTTTCTAATGTTAGATGCGCGATCTCTCCTATCAACGCCTGCAGATATTCTCCAAATTGGAATCGAAGAACTTACCTATTTTATTATTACTTCAATACGAGTGAGATAGACATCAGTTTACTACTTTATTAGAATTATCGTGTGATTACATGAGCCGTGGATACGAACGGGGTTGAAGGTTGAAACCAGGAAAACAAGCCAAAAGACGGTGTTTGACCCGCTGCCCCTTTCTATTAAAATTTCTGTTCCTGAACTTCCCTACTCTTTACCTTGGAGCTCTTAAGTAATAAGATTCTACCTCAGCTGAGGCTACCGGAGCTATCTGCCATTTAGATCCTGACTCGTGACTGGCTCAGCGTACTATGAGCCTACCCCGCGCATGAGAATGAGGAAAAAAAAAATTCAGAGAGAGCCCATCCTCCCTTTCCTAGCGTACGCTACCCTTGCCTCCAATTCCCATATAAATATGCCTTTACTTTCACTCCCTACTGAACTGACTCTTCTCTTCCTGTTGGGGGGAAGCCAAAGGGGCTCCCCTTGCCACTAGAGCATTTCCTCCTAAGAAGTATATTGATTTTTTCCTTCAATGAGCTTTCCCTTGCGAGCTCTTGACTTCCCTTCCCTCAGGCACAGGAATATTTTCTACCGAAGACTGGCGAGAAAGACTTGCTCAATAGCCAAGACCTGCTCCAGCTCGACTTTCGAGTCGAGCCCAAAAGCAAAAGAATCCTTTAGCGGACCAATTCTCGGAGTTTAACCACTGATTCTGAAAATCTTCGAGTGAGAATGTCGAAGGTCAGTTCGTCAAAATAAAGGCGAATGTCGGTGTAATGGATCTTTCTGCTCTCGGAATCCTAGTCCTATGGAAATGCTTTTCTGGAGCCTTCCTCGCGGCCGGAATAAATGGCTCTTGAAAGCATGTAGTACTGGAAATGGCAAGATTTGTGTTTTGACAGCCGCCGAACTTTTGAGGAAGAGCATCTTTAAACTGAGAGAAAGCTCCAGCTAAACGCCATCCCCTGCCTGGAAACAAGTTGCAAAAACTAATGCGGGAGCGAACTAGACATGTTTTTAATAAGCAAAAGTCGGCTTAGCTCCTCTCTTGTAGCGGTCTGATACCTTATGGATTGAAGAATTCAAATGGAGGAACTTGGGTTATCGGTTGACTGCTTCGTTGGCGGTCAAAGGCCGCTGCCAAACATGAACCATGGAAGGAACGCCATACTGGTAAATTACCTTTTCTTTTTGACAGAACAAAAATGCTGGGCAGAGACGACAGCCCCTAAACAAGTTTGAAGCTCACTTTTTGCTCTACAGCAGATGATTCATTCAATAGGGCCCCCCTTGCTGATTAAGATCCAATTCCTTGTGAAAGGGGATATGAGACATTTGATCTCGGACATCAACTCAAATCAAAGATGAAAGATTCTGTAAGGGAGTATGACCGAGAAAAAATCCAATTTTTGGGTCATAGGGTGCTAAAAATGAGTGGGATTCGCTTTTTCACCTTGGCCGCATCTTTAAGTATGTCGAAGGATAGTTTGGAACTGAAGATCGATGGAATAGGAGAGATTCAGATATAGGAAGGCCTCAGGCCGGAAAGATATAGGTACTGGTCGCAGCTCTGGATCGCATAATCTCAGATCCAAGTCAATCGGGAAAGTCCACTCCATCTTCGCTGGAAATATACGGAACGAATCTTGGACAAGACTTGATGCGTGGCCGTTCACGGGAACGTCACCCTGTACGCGACGTTCTTGATGGCAAGGTAACGAGGGAGCTGTCGCGACACAAGTCAATGGAGGGAAAAAGATAAAGGAGTAGCGAGCGTCGCTGCCCTATTAGAGAAGGCAGGTCAAGGGGTTGGTGCGAGTTCACTTAACATACCCTCGGCTATCGCTCAAACCTTCCTCTCCGATCGGTCTTCATACCTCTCCTT